TCGAATCGAATCAAATATTTAAGCAATTTGAATTTGATTTAATTTTTTCAAATCAAATCAAATCAAATCAAATCAAATCTAATTGAACTCAAATATTTGATCGAATCAATTTGTATCAATTTGAATTTGATCGAATTGAATCAAATCAAATCAAATATAAAAAAATTTTTAATTTTTACAATGATATATTAAAATAAAGTTATTATAAAGATTTAATTAAGAAGATTATTAGTAATTGCACTAAAAAATTTCAAAAATAACTTTTACAAAGTAAGTTTAGTAACAGGTGAATTTATACTATTAAACTTAGTAAAATAACTCTGCGGTCTTGGTTTACTAAGAAAATTTAGTAATAACCGCCATCGCGGCTTCAGTTTACTAAGAAAACTTAGTAATATCCGCCATCACAGCTTCGGTTTACTAAGAAAACTTAGTAATAACTGTTATCACGGCTTCAGTTTACTAAGAAAACTTAGTAATAACTGCCATCTCAGCTTCATAACTATTTTATTATTAAAAAATCATTTCCGAAGCTGTGAAACATTTTTTTACTAGGTTTCTTAGTAAAAAAACGTTTCCAAAGTCACGAAGGCATTTTTTTACTAGGTTTATTAGTAAAATAGCATCTCTGAAGTCGCGGAGGCATTTTTTCTATGTTTTCTTAGTAAAATAATATCTCTGAAGCTGCGAAGGCACTTTTTACTATAGTTTTCTTAGTAAGAATCACTTGGAGATGACTTTACTATTGATTCGAATCAAATTAAATATTTGAATACTTGATTTGAATTTGATTGAATCGAATCAAACATTGATTTGGATTTGATCAAATAAATTATTCTTTGATTTTAATTTGATCAAATCAAATATTCAAATATCAAGCTGAATTGCGGAACCCTAGTGGTATGTGTTGGGGTCCATAATGGTCAAAATCTGTTATCGTTTAAGAGATGTCATGTATGCTATTTCCGTTACTGTATTTAAAGTTTTGTTCTTTTGTTATTAATGGGTTATCCGGCTTAAAGTATCTACACTTGAATATTGTTTTCCTGGTCAGTTTATAATATCAAAGTCAAATAAGTTAAGAGTCATAATTCAATGTCCAAGTTTGACAACAGGGTTTGAGTTATTTTTCAAATATACTAAAGTGGAATGGTCAGTAACAACAACAAATCTTTGTCCATAAAGATAATGATGAAAGTATCTTATTGCCCATACAATAGCAATGCATTCGAGTTCAGTGATAGTATAGTTTCATTCATGCTTGTTCAATGTACGACTAGCATAGGCTATAACATATTCTTTAGAATCAATTCCCTTCTGCGATAATATTGCTCCTAATGTAAAAGTTGAAGCATCCGTATATAGAATAAAGGGTTTTTCAAAATTAGGATAAGCTAATATTGGAGGTGTCATTAAGCATGATTTGAGTTTCTCAAAGGCTTCTTGCTGATATTTTGTCTATTGATAATAAACATTCTTTTTTAAGAGTCAATGTAAAGGTTCAGCTATCGTTGAAAACCTTTTAACAAACTTTCGGTAGTAAGAGGCTAACGCGATAAAACCTCTAAGCTGGGTCAAATCTTTTGGTGAAGGGTAATCTTTTATTACTCTTAGTTTCTCAGGATCAGTCTGAAATCCTTCTCCACTTATCACATGACCTAGAAAAGGTAACTTTCGCTTAAAGAAGAAACATTTTTCTGGCTTAACTTTAGTACAGCATTTCTCAACTGTATAAACACTTGCTTTAAATGCATGAAATGTTCTTCGAAGATTCTTGATCTGATATTAATGTCATCAACATATACAACAACAAATTGCCATAATATGTCTCTTAAAATAGTGTCCATTAAGCGTTGAAATGTGGCAGACGTATTACACAGTCCAAATGGCATTATGCTAAATTTATAGGTACTGAATTTAGTTATGAAAGTTGTCTTTTCCATATCTCTAGAATCCAATTCAACTTGCCAGAATCTACTAGCAAGGTCAAGAGAAGTAAATCAAGAAGATCCTGATAAAGTTTCTAACATATCATCTATTCTAGGTAAAGGGTAACAATCTTTTTTGGTTACTCTATTTAGTTTCGATAATCTATGCAAAGCCATTTTTTTCCATTTTTCTTTTCTACAACCACAACTGGGGAGGTTCATTGACTATTCGAAGGTTTGATTAGTCTATTCTTTAATAACCGCTGAATTTCTTCATTAATAAATTCCTGATTTTTGTGAAAAGTTCAGTAAAATCTCTGTTTGATGGGTTCTGCTATACTGGTATTAATTAAATGTTTATTAACAGATGTTCGCCCAAATTCATCTGAATCCCAGACAAATAAATCATTGTATTCATGCATGAATGCTTTAAAGGTTTTCTTTTATTCCATATTCAATTCTCCAATATGGAAATTTCCTTTCTCAATCTCTTTATACTGATAATATGATTCTTTGGATATTGTAGTATCGCCGATTTGCTCAATTATTTCATTTTCAATTTGTTCAGATTCCTCTGTGGATATATATTGGTTAAAACAATATACTTGTTTTTGTAAATCAGCTTCTTCCTCATATTCTTCATCTGTATCACTATCATCGATAATATGTTTTTCTTGTTCATTATCTTTGATTTCTTCTTCATCAATCTTTTCAAGAATACGATCATGTGATAATTGATAGCATTCAACTGATATATTAATGTTTTCATTATTCCAAAGCAAGGTTAGTAGCCCTTTTCTATAATCAATTATTGCCTGTGTTTCTTTTAACCAGTCATTTTCTACAATAGCAGCATAGGATTCGGCTTTTGTAACTACTGCATCAAAAGGAATTATGTGGTTATTAATTTTTAAAGGAATTTTAGTTACTGCTTCTAATGGTCTTCTTTTTTCTCCATTGACATTAACCATAATAGTTTTTGATGCTTGTGTTATTTCCATGTCCAAATCCTTTAGTAACTTCAAGGATATAATACATTCTGCAGAACCAAAATCAATTATAAGAGGTATCTTTACTCCGTTTATATATGCGTTACAGTACAATGCCGTTGCTCTCTTTGTGGTGTCATTTTTTGACAAATTGGATTTCATGTTGTCAGGTTCATTGGGTTTTTCTTTCACAATAATTTGCTCTAGGTTTCTTTGCTATGAGCTTTCGTATCGCTTTCATTACAGCTTGCCCGAATTTTGGATTCATCGCAATTAGTTGACTATTTGTAATATTCGCGGGTTGATTAAAAAATCTTTGTGTGTATAAAGATCAACCATACCATTTATAGCGACACCAAAGGTGACTTCCTTTTCAAAGGTTTCATTTTAACCTTTTTATTTGTTTGTTGACTGGTTAATTGCTGGACCTCTCCTTCATCATCGTTTCTCTTTTTATTTTCAGTTTCTTCATAACGCTTGTAAGGAGTTTCTTGAGCGGCCTTGAATCGTGTTCTTATTGCTAGATATGCTTCGAATAATGATAAATTCAAGGGAATGACCAATGGTTCTGTACCTTCACCCTCATGAGGTACACCATTTAGTTTAAATGCTATTTTTGGGTGTTATCCTGTACCAGTTGTGATAACAACTGAAGTAGCTGCAGTTTCTGTATTTTATTATTCACAGTATTAGGAGTATTATTTAGTACTAGTGAAACTGGAGGGACTATATTCGTGGCATTACTTCCCGAAGCTTGATTATGCTGAAGGGCTGGATTATCATGAGAAATATTAAAATTATTAGGACAATTTCTTCTCATGTGTCCAGGCTGTTTGCATAAATAACAGATAAAAATGTTTCGTTGAGACGTAATAGCAGGGAACGTATTGTTTGACTGAAAGTTTTGTGGTCTCTGGTATCCATCATTCTTTTGATACCCATCATTTCTGTGATATCCATTATTACGGAAGTCCTTTCTTCCAAAATTCATTTGCTGGATTTGCTGTGTCAAATTATCTATAGCTTCATTAAGAGCATTAGTCTGAGTGAATGGTATAGTGGTACCATACTTGTTCATTTATACAGCTAAAGCATTTTGGTCTTGATATGTTAATTTATAAGACTTGGCTCTGTTGAGTGCGGCATCCCAAGTTTGGTCATTATGAGGCTTCATCATTAAATGTAATTCTGATAAGAGACTATTTACAAGTCTTCAAGCTTTCATTGCTACTGGATATGCAAACTGAGGAGTTTTTATTCTTTGATATAATTCCTGTAGAGTACAGGCATATGCATCAACAGTTTCGTTAGGTCTTTGATGTCGTCATTCTAATTTTGTAGTCCAGATTTTAACCAAGGTTTGAGAACGAAAGGCAGCAGGAAAATTCTGTATGAAATCTGTATTGTTGTTATTTCCATCTCATGCATTAATCTTGTTTGCATTATTTCATGTAGAAGCTGGTCCTTTAAGATAAGCGGATACCACTTCTAATTTTCTGGCGTTAATAATTCCATTAGCATTACAGGCTCTGGTGAATTCTTCCAACCATCCAATGGGTCCTGGTTTCCTCCTTGATAATTGGGGATTTCAACCACACAGGCTTCCCTTCCAAGAGGATTATTCAATGCATTAGTATTTGCTTGCATCTGTGCTTGTAAATTTATAATGACATTGTTTGCGTTTACTGCTCCCAGAGGTTGCAAAATTCCTTGCAACACTTGCAATACTGCGGTTAGATTTTGAAGATCCGCTGCTTAGGCTGCCATTGGATTTTCTTCTGGAAATAACCGGTCAAGATTTAACAATTCGTTGTTGAAAATTAAATTGCCAAAAAATGGTATGTCTAATAATCCTATATGTCTTGGTCTAGAATTATAATTTATAGATATCGGTAAGGTAATTTTGGCTAAGTTTGAATGATTGTTTTGTAATTCACTTTCTTGAATATTATTGATTGCAGAACTAACTGGATCTTCTGTAGGATGCCAAAGACGAAAGTTTAATCCAAAAGGGAAACAACAATTACAAGGAAGTTGATTGTTATAAGACTTTTCTTTATCAAGGCTCATGCAAAATTATCTAGATTCTTTTATTTAGATTCTGGCAGAAGGCACTATATGTTAATAGCAGTTTTTTAGTGTTTATGGTTATAAACGGAGTTTAAAAATAAGCAGAAGGTATTTTGTTTATTGTTTTTACTAATTTAATTAATAATAATCAGAATTTCTAATCTAATACAACATAGATATCATATTGCCTGCAACGTCAGCACTCTATACAATCAGGTATGTTTTTAATTATATCTTTCGGAGTTATTACAATAAAAATGTAAAGGAAAATAATAATGATGTTTTTATTTTAGAGAATTATCGGACTTTCAAGGATTGAATAAGTTTTATTATAGCGATTATGAACCGTGTTAACGTTATAATTAACATTGTAGAAAATTGTTATTATCATTATTTTTTTAAAAAACTATATGTCTTTTATTAAAGGAAATTCCGCCACTTATATACTAAATTTCTAACAGGACAATTATGGCCAGTGAACAATTATGTCTAATGAATATTAATGGGCAGTGATTTTCATTGCGCTAACTTAAATTTTGTTAGCCAAATTTCTTATAATAAAAATAATAATAAAATAATAAGCAATACATATATAGAAACGCTAGTAATAAATGCTAATAAACTAAAAAAATAAAATAAAAAGAAAATAATAATTAATACTATCTTACGATATATATAATTATTAATGTAACAATATCCTAGTTCATATAATGTACGCCTCATAGTCCTCTCACTTACTTTATTTTCAGTAGTTTCATTAAACTTTTCACAATTTTTTTTGGTTAGTTCGTGTCGATTTTTAATAACAATAGCCTTAAGATGACGTTTATCACGTTCAGTCAATTTTTTTGGATGTTCACTTCGAAAAGCAGTAGTTTTAGCACCTATTTTATGGTATTTTATTATTATATTATGAATGGTAGTTTTGCTATAATCCGTTATTTGTGATATAGTTCTTTCTGAACTATCAGTTTCATGGAAACCAATGATCTTTTCACGCTCAAAAGTTGATAGCTCTTTACTTTTGACCATTTTTATGAAATACAGAACAGAAGAACAAAAATAAAAGATGAATAATAATTTATTTATTGATTATCATATAACACAAAATTCTAGCTTTATTTGGTTACACAAAATATATAATAAATGTATATTAAATGCAAATCATTTTGCAGATTCTGGGTAGTTCTAAACTTTTGGTTAGAAAGTGTAAATATGCTATGTCTTACCCCTAAGTCGCACTTTTTATCAAGTCTAATCTCTGAGCCTTATTTTGCAATTTATTATAATATTGCATCACATAATATTCTCTAATATGTTCAGCACACCATTCACAAGCTGTAGCAGTAGGTTTGTCACAATTAGTATAAGTATAGCACTTTCTAGTCTTTCAATGTTACCAACATCCTTCAAATCGAATGTAGGCTTTACTACAAGTCTTGCCAGAGTTATAAAAATAGTCACAAATATAAGATGTCATCATTTACAATAGGGATGAAAAATTTAATTAAACAAAATTATCTGCAATATAGAAAAGTGAATAGCAAATATATCTAAAGGGTAATTATTTTTATTTAAACAAAGGTTTACACAATATATAATAGGTGAAACTTATTAATATCATGCCTAGAAGTAGTATTCTACACAGATCGAATCAGATCAGATTTAGGCAAAATCTGAAGTAACTATGCAATGAAATATGTATTAATAATTGTGCAATGATTAGATAGTTAAAAGCAATTCTTATGTAATAATTATCTAATATATTTGTAATTTTAGATCAATTTAAAATGTATAAATAAGACAAGTTGGGATTATTAAAAAGAAGGTGATCTAGAGAAGTAATTAATCTAGGAGTAATGTAACGTGAAGAATTAGTATTAATGATTGTGCAATCATTTATAACGTTATAATATTTTAATAAAATACTTTCTTTAACAAAATTATTCTTTTATTTATTTCTCATAATATTTGTGTAACCACTTATGTGTAACTTCTATCATGGTTCATTAAGTCTTCATACTTGAATGAATCACCATGTGATTCAGCTTAAAAGGTTATGATGAATTTATAATCTTTGACGACAGATGGCAGCAGCGATCAAGAATATTTCATCAAATTGACTAAGAATTTATAACTTAATGAACTCAACCTCTTACCTAAAAATAAACGTCCTATTTTTCAGGTAACAGCATATATTTAATAAGATTAAGGAGATGAATCCTGAAATCTCTATCAATATTTAGGAGTGAAAAGAAAAAACAGCTATTCTAAAGCCTATAATTACCAGTAAGAATTATAACTGATCACATGTTATTCATCTTATAGCCCTTATAGATATTACAAAATCAGAAGAAGGTAAGTATAGATAAAAGAATTACTTTCTCTGGATTAAAAATCTGAATGGATTAGTAAATAAGACCCTATAAGAAATCGAAATAAGGAAATGATACGTTTTTGTTAAGATTTGTATACGTAATTAATGATTCTATATCAAAATTCCGTATGTTTTATAATGATTTATTTTTTTATAATTT